CTGACTTTACTAACACTGAAAGGGGGTCCTGGATCCCCCAAACATGTAGCAGTTGTCTGTTTAAATTAAATTGGATAATTATTACAATAGAATATTTTTTAGATTAAAAACATCTTCAAATCTGAATTGCTTGTGTGGGGCCCCCTGCAGTCCCTCTGAGCCCCCAAAGGGATCCTTCTGATTCCCAATTTGATAAGCCGCATACACTGTATACAATTTGCGTTTTTTTTGTTCATAATTAAAGAATACAATATTTGTATAACAATTCCCAATCCATCTATTCAGAATTCACATTAACAACAATATCAAAACATATTTCGTTTTTTCATCCACACAGCAGTTTGCTTTCTAAAGACACTTAAACCAGTTGAAAAGGACTGTAATAAATCATCCTGGAAAGCGCAGGGATTTTTTTGTTCATTTGTGCCAAAATTCCTGTGTGAGGCTGTGGTTTTCTGAGAGCATTAATTGTCCTGTAAAATAAATGAACATGACCCAAAAGAAGTCTGAGCAGTAATCAGCAACAATGAAAAACAACACAGGCCCTGGACTCCTGCAGGTGTGTGTGGCGTGAACACTAAGGGCACAACATAACATAACATAAAAGAAGAAGGAGTTTGGACTGAGTTTAGGTGAGTTTTGTTTACAGTAAAACACATTTACTACGACTGTAAGGACTGACGAACACTGCCGGACTACCCTCACATGTCATGCATCGGTGCAATATCTTGAACTAATGTTCTATATTGCACGAATGTGCAATATAGAACCACGTGTGTTACTGTTGCTTTGTCCCAGACCCTAGCATGTACTGATGCTAACCATGGACTGTAAATATTAACGGACAGAGTCACGCCTATCTCCGCCGTTCTAACTAATGGGCCAAACATTGTGCTCTACTGGAGCAATCCAAAATGGCCGCGAGTGGTCCCGCCCACAAGAAAATTGTGAAAAAACGCATCTGCGCATGCGTCAGCCGGCGCAACTCCATTCATTTGAACGAGAGACTTAAAAAAATTCACAGCAAGTAAACTAGAGTGGACCAAAAAAATCCACCCCCCTCAGCATTGACACACATGTGGAACGGAGCTTTGGGCCAAGAGCCAACTTTTGGTCCATCCTTTAAAGACGTTTTTGAGAGGTCGGCTAATGCTATATGTTAGCACTTCTGGGTCCACCCCCATCGGCCCGGGGTGGTACTGCAAGCATGTCAGCGCACGTCATTTTGGCCACTTTTGAGCTGGGACCCTCCCCCACTGATGCTAACATATACAGATGCTAATATGTACAGATGCTAATATGTACAGATGCTAACATATACAGATGCTAATATGTACAGATGCTAATATGTACAGATGCTATTATGTACAGATGCTAACATATACAGATGCTAATATGTACAGATGCTAATATGTACAGATGCTATTATGTACAGATGCTAACATATACAGATGCTAATATGTACAGATGCTAACATATACAGATGCTAATATGTACAGATGCTAACATATACAGATGCTAATATGTACAGATGCTATTATGTACAGATGCTATTATGTACAGATGCTAACATATACAGATGCTAATATGTACAGATGCTAACATATACAGATGCTAATATGTACAGATGCTAACATATACAGATGCTAATATGTACAGATGCTATTATGTACAGATGCTATTATGTACAGATGCTAACATATACAGATGCTAATATGTACAGATGCTAACATATACAGATGCTAATATGTACAGATGCTAACATATACAGATGCTAATATGTACAGATGCTATTATGTACAGATGCTATTATGTACAGATGCTAACATATACAGATGCTAATATGTACAGATGCTAACATATACAGATGCTAATATGTACAGATGCTAACATACACAGATGCTAACATACACAGATGTAAACATACTACTATATATTACTTGCACTAGAATATACAGTACTTTATACTTTCTTCCTTATTATGCCAAAGGTAGAGATTTTATACTTTTTATCATGCTAAAACAAAAATAGTTTTTTGTACTCATTATGATAAAGTTAGAGATTTTATACTTGTTTCTTCTTCATGCTAGAGTTAGATATTTTTATTTCATGTAGTATAGAGTTATTGTTCATTTATCTTGTGCTGTGTGCTCCTCCTTTTTGCTGTTCTATAACTGGTGATGCAACACTGACATTTCCCCACCGTGGGACAAATTAAAGGATCTCTTAATCTTAATCTTAGTTTAAATCCTTTCTCTTGAGATGATTTTGCTCAATACTCTGTTTCACAATTTTAATATTAAAACATGATATAGGTTACATAAGAGGTTACTTCTTTTATAGTCCGTGTGTATTTCTTGGTTCTAAGTATCCCGCAACAGAATATTTTTAAACTGAATGACTTGGACCAGCTGATACTTGAATTGTATTTCCATCCAACCTGAGAGGAAGTATAGCGTGTGGAATTGTGTGATTTTCTATGGAGCTGGATAATTGATGTTGTGTGTTCACAGTAGACTTCCAACTGTGTAAACGTTGTTATATTTGTGAGTGTCTTAGGCAGCTGACTGGTCTGCAAACATCTGATAGAGTCCAAGCCAAAGACCTGAACAAACGATGCATTCAGGGGCCTTTCGGGCCCTTGTGCACACGTACATCATGATGATGATTGTGTAACACGGACGACACGGAGGGTGAGTGGAGAGCCCTCTCGCCTCTAAGCAAGAAGGTTCTGGGTTCAAATCCCGGTCGGAACAGGGCCTGTCTCTGTGGAGTTTGCATGTTCTACCCGTGTCCCGGTCTCCCCTACCATGTGTACAATAGTTCTGGCATGTGCCTCCTGTACGGCATCCTCGCTCCCATCTCTGTGTGGAGTGAGTGACAAATGCCCAAAACAATTGAAAAGTGCTTTGGGAAAATATGAGACCAGCTTCTTCTCTGATAATGTTCCAATCCAGGTTAGAAACTGGTAGAGCATTGGCCTTTGGGCCTGAAGGTTGTGGGTTCAAGCCCACCTCAAGACCTACTTCACAACTCCCACTGATGACTGCTGTCGTTGTGTCCTTGGGCAAGACACTTAACCCCACTTTGCCTGTGGACTCACCACCTGCAGGAGGATCAGTGAGGGGCTGGTGCTCTGTGTACTGGGTGCAGCTCTGACGGCCACCCTCTGACCCAGAAATGGATTAAGGGGAAGAAAATGGATGGATGGATTATTTATCATTTGAATGCCTTGTGTGACTGTCTTTGTCTTGTTTCATTTAGCACTTTGAGTTGTGTATGAATTTTGCCATACAAATAAACTAGCCTTGGCTTACATTTTCCAAATACCTTCCCATCACTGGTTATTATGTTGCAGCCACTACCACTTTGAGCGTTGATTTTCACAAAGTGTGTATGAAGTGGACTCGATGTCTCAATAACAACAATAACAACAGGTTTCTTTCCTTCAGTTGTTCAGGTCTGTCTTCTTCGTGTATAAAGCCTACATAGTTATTATTATTATACACACATTTTATACAACCATTGTGGCAAAAGACTTATTGAACGGTATTGAAACTCCCACAGACGTCACTGACCTTCAAACCTGCTGCTTGTCAATCTGTAGCAGAGAGTGAGAGTCAAAGCTTGTGAAAAATTCTTAAAGCTGCTTTGACAGTGAAAGTTGAGGCTTGAGCTAAAACAAGACATGGATTCACAGAGGAGCGGAGCAGAAGGATTTGAACTTTCACAGATATCACTTTAACATAAAGTAAAAATATGAATTATTATAAAACAACAAAGACTGTTAAGCAACACTTTCATCTATATTTTGTTCTAGTATTGGTCCTGGTTCATTAAACATAGAGATGATACATTATAAATATATAATTAATTTGAAAGTGGCCTTGGTCATTTTATTTGTCATTAAATCACAGATGGTAAAACTAAAATGTGCAATACTTTGCTATAGTGAGTAATAGTTTTCAACAGTTTAATAATATCTTAGTGAATGAGATTTATATTTTAGCACAATAGAAATATGTATAACACATAGGTAAGTATATCACTAAACATTCCTTTTTAACATGTTTAACCCAGAATTTTTTTGGTGAAGTTAAAGTAAAGTTACGCAATAAATATGAAATGACAAGAAGTCATGTGAGACAGACCCTTTATGTTGTTAGATTACTATTTAAACTGCCAACAAAAGTCCTGTTGGATAGAATTCTGTATACTTATGCATATGTATATTTTTCAACATTTTGTGAGAACATTTTCAATTGACTGATGATGAAACTGTGGGAATTATTTGCAATGATGAGCTCCATCCAAACAAACAAACAAACCAAAACTCATAGAAAAAAGCAGTATTTCAGTAATATATTTCGTTTTTTTGAATGTTATCCTTTATCACTAAGATGTATTTGAAGCATACTTGGGAATAAAAGTTGTATTTTATTAGCTTTCATCATATATATTCCTTAAATAGACTCCTGCAGCGCGTAAAATCCCTGATCCATTGATCCAAAATCCAGGCGCCGCTGGGGCTCGCTGTTTTCCACGCCTCCTCCCACTTTCTCCCCCCCATTGTGGTGGTGGATCTCTGGCTGAGCACACTCACACTCCTGCGCTAGACTTCTCCAGACCCGTACGCGCTTTTAAAGACTCCACAAAAACACCACATTCTACTGCATGGATTCCGTTCACAACTCCTCCTCCGACCGCGCAATGACCACCGCGCTTGGACATTTCGGAGAAGATAGTTGGACAGGCAGAGCTGGCGTTGCAAAGTTGTGAAAAAGTACTTTGCTTTGAAGTTTTCACCACCGGCGGGACTGCTTCTACTACCACTATTACTACTACTACTACTACTACTACTGCTGCTGCTGCTCCAGTCCCATAGACCCACAGCCATCATGGCGAAGCGGACGCGGGAGAACTTATGCGTTTTGGCACCGGGTTTACGCACTTCTTGTTGGGTTAAACGCGCGCTGGCCTTTTCTTGGAGCTTCGTGTTTATGTGCTCGACACTTTTATGTGGATATTGCAGCGCGGAGGAGTTTAATATCCTGGAGGGAGCCCAAGTTCTGGCTGATCAAATGAAAAAGCTGTCCACGCAGGAGCTGAGAGTCTTCAGAATGCAGGTAAGTTCGATGTTAACACGTTGCGTATAAATGTATAATGCGTGGCTGTTTTACGCGCGGCCTTCACGTTCATTAATGCTATTATTCTTTTACGTTTTAAGACGAATTTCACTCCATGTGGTGTCGACTATGGATCACTATTGTCTGATGCTTTGAAGTTTTGTATCTAGGACATGGGGCGCAGATCTGCCGCTGTTGGCCCCCGTGTTCGCCTCGCACTAATCTGTAAAAGTTGACACCTCCCACGAATGAACAATGTCGTTTTTGCTGTTTATCACTATGATTTATTATTTAAAAGGGCTGTTAAGTGATGTCTCTCAAACCTCACCCAGGCTCACTCGCAATTACAGCTGTATTCACGTTCTCTGGATGCAATGTCTCTCTATCTTTTTACATGGATATGGAATTGATGACTAAATTTGTCCTGTATATTTTTTTAAAATGTCATTAGAATTCCACTACGACTACGATGATTTGATTTGATTTGATTGACACAAGTCCAGCAAAATTTCTTATATCACCCAGTAATTCGGCAATAACTACTTGCCTATTCTTTGAGGACATGAGATTAAAGAAAGCAATGGCAACACTGCAAGAAGTGATGGAAAAAAAAGTCAGACATTGCTCAAAATTGGCAAAATGTAGCTTAATTTGAGCACATTCTGACGGCTTTAAAACAAGATTTGGCAATGGTACAAGCAAAATGATCTTGTTTTAAAAAGATACAAGAAATGTCTCCCTTGGAATGAGAAAATAAAGCAACCGTTCTTGAATTAAGACTAAATGGCTTTGTCCCTTTGGCAAATCTCATTTTAAGACAGTCAGAATTAAGAAAAAAGCACTTGATTACAGCATATTTTTCCTCATATTTTATCTTTTTTTGCAGAGAATACATACAATATAATACAACACATTGTAATCTAAGATACATCAATTGCCTTCTGATGCAGACTCCACTACAGCTTGAATGTGTCTTGCCTGAACCTAACAATGATTTTTGCTCTCCTTTTTATAATCTAGCAATGATTACTTCTCTGACACTGATCTAATCGTGCAAAGGGCCTGTAAATATGAGCTCAATTTGAATAGTGAAATAGTATTGAAGTTGCTTGAGAGCATCCGGATGTACATAAAATAAATCGTTGAAATACTGTAGTTTTTTTAGTCATTCAGAATTTGCCACTACTTGATTCGCCTCATAATTACATATTAAAACGTGTCTTTTGCATTATGAAATGGATAGTTGGAGGAGAAATTATGCTTTTTAACACTTGTCTTTCTGTTTTTCAATAGATGTTGATCTAAAACAATGTCATAGATAGGTTTGTAGGGGAGACAGACATTTTTTTGAGCACTGAAGCCTTGAATGTTGGAGGAAGAATACTTTAAATGAAATCAAACTTTGTGAGTGACGACGACAAGGCATCTGTTATAACCAGTTTAAAATCTCGCAATTTCATTTTTCACATCAGGTCCGTGGTTGCTCTCATTAGCATTAATAATGTGCCTCTCTCTGGACTTGTTACCAAATGGAGGGGAATGGTGAGGGGGGAGTTGTGTGTGGAGGTGGGGGTTGTGTTTAGCACTTCAGAGGGGCTCCAGGGCTCTGTGCTGCGGGGCGGGATGAGGCTGCAGGGGTCCGGGCTCCACACCAGTGCTCGTGTTGATCTTCACAGGCCCCTCCACGCTGAGCACTGCAGCGGATCTTCCCATCGGTCTCCCCTCTCACCTCTCGTTCCTTTTCTCGCCGTAAAAAATGGCGCCGTGGCAAGAGCTCTGGTGTGTACTATCTGCTCTGTCTGATGCACACTGGGACAGTCTTGCATAGTTTTTCCAAGGTGGTTTTACTGCAACTGGTAAATCAAATCTTGAATCTCTGCTATGCATCTATAGTATTGGTCATGAGGTAGGCTAGTTGTGTAAACATAATGATTTGTGTCTCCATCCGTTTATGTCACTAAAGAAATCCTGTTAATGTTTTTTTCTAAAATGGCAAACTGGGTTATTCTTATAAAAAACAGCCAATAGTATCGTATATTTGTATAGGCTAGGGGTGTCCAAACTTTTAAACGAGAGGCTCATATTGAAAAGCGTGTCACATTGAATTGCTTTTTGCTGAAATGCAAGTTTGTTTATTGGGAAACCACACAATGAAAGATAAGATAAGAGAACCTTTATTGTCCTACAGAGGGGAAATTTCAATGTTGCAGCGCACATTCAGGACAGTAGTAAATGTGCTTTCAGACCGGATCATGCGTTGCGTCGGGTTTCAATGCAAAGAGCACACAGGGAGAACACAAATGCATACAATATAAGTAGCTGCTGTGCTTCTTAGCTAGCTGTAAATGCTTCAATATCAATTCATTGATATATCTCTATTTCTTTTCATGTAAACATACAGAAAAGAGAGCCAAGCACATAGTTAATACAAAAGCTGAAGTTGAGGCTTAAAAGCGTGCTATACATTTCTGTATATGGTCATTTGGCTGTTCTTACGTCCTCAGCAGCAGACACACACACACGAGGCCCTGTGGATTCTGTGTTTTTTATGTTGTGGGCTGAAAACCAAAGGAGTAGTTGTGAACCAGTGGATTTGATTGAAGCTACGCCTGTGATGAATAAGTTAGAGCCCTTGTATTGAGATGTGCATAATGTATTCAGCGAGGAGACTGTGTGAGTCCACAGCCAGTCAGCTGGATGCTTCCACGTCGTCCCACTTCTTATACTCCTCCACAACCGTGTCTTTCCAATCCTGCTGTTCCTCACCTAACCTAAACCCGAGCCTTACGCTGCAAGAACTGTTGCTTTATTTTCTCATTCCATGTGACCCATATCTAGCATATATAGTTTGTCCCATTGGCAAATCTTGGCAGTCAAAATGTGCTCAAATGAAGATACATTTTTCTAAATTTGAGCAATTTTGTAACTTATTTTTCATCACTTTTGGCTGTTTAGCCTTAACCATAACCAATTTATTGGGCCATGTTAACTCCCATAGCCTACAGCCACTAGCCGTGAGCTCTTTTACCTTTGGAAGCATTTGATGGTGTTAACCATCACTCGACAGATAGAATGCATAATAAAACATTGTGTCTAAAGCAGACTTGGAGATTCTTATCCACGCATTTGTCTCCAGTCGATTGGACTACTGCAATGGCTTGTTCACAGGTCTCTCTAAACAAGCGGTAAAACAGCTGCAGTACATCCAAAATGCTGCAGCTCGAGTCCTGACTAGAACCAGGAAGTACGACCACATTAGTCCGGTCCTCAGGTCTCTGCACTGGCTTCCTGTGGCTCAGAGAATAGATTTTAAAGTAGCTTTACTTGTGTACAAGTCTCTCCATGGCCTCGCACCAGGGTACATCCGCGACATGTTGGTGCCATATGAACCAACTCGGGCTCTGAGGAGCACAGGGACTGGACTTCTGTTAGTGCCAAGAGTCGGAACTAGACATGGGGAGGCTGCGTTTCAGATTCATGCAGCTAGAGTCTGGAACCGTCTTCCCGAGAGTGTGAGACAGGCGTCTACTCTAGCAGTTTTTAAAACTGAACTGAAAACAGTTCTTTTTAGCTGTGCATACAAGTGAATGATTTTACATTTGTTTTTATCTTTAATCTTTTTAATGCGCTATGATTATTTATGATTATTTATGATTGTAATCCCTTGTGTGATTTTAATTTTTTACGGTTTTTAACTACTTGTGTGATTTTATATATCTTGTGCTCTTAATCTGTCTTTTTATGTTTACTTAAATTCTAATGTTTGATGATTTATGCATGATGTTATATGGGTTGTGAGGCGCTTTGCGTTGCCTTGTGTAGGAAAGGCGCTCTATAAATAAACGTTGATTGATTGATTGATAATAATCCATAATTAACTAGGTGAGAACTTATTTAGATCAAAAATAATGTAAATTTTAAAAAGACTAATATATTTTTTAAGCAGTAAAACATTTAAGATTTTAGTTATTTAAACATTTAAAGTGATTATTAACTGGACCAAAGTGAAATTATTTTTAAAAATGTGTTTTCTTCCTTACATTTACAAAAGGTATTTGCTGGATGTGAAGACATGAATCAGAAATATTGATGGTCCACATAGAAACAATGAGACTGTTATTATACTAGTCAATAAATGGTGTCACAATTATTATTGCACATTTAGTTATGAGTGTCTGATACATTGATCTTGTTCAAGTCTGTAGTTATGATATTTACACGTGTATTTGGACACAGTTTTAGTGACGGTATACTGAGTCATGGCTGGTTGTTTAGTCAGGCCCTGTGGGTTTTGTTTTGAAGCCCCTCTTGTGTATAGTGTAATTGTAGCCAGGCCGGTTCCACCCCTCATTCACTGCTCTGGTGTAATGTGAGGCCGCTGTTGTTTTATCTGTCATTGTGGTTCTCTGGATGATCCTCCACGCACTGAGAGTTGTACAGGACAACTGTTTAACACCATCGTGGAGTAACAGCTGTCACTGCGTTCACGTGGGAGGACTGATCCAAACGTTTAAAGTCAAACTCAGGTGCCACTGCTTAGCTCACCCTAATCATGTCAAAATGTAAATGTGCTCTTTATTGTCCCCCCTAGGGAAATGTATCCTCTGCATTTGACCCATTCTGATGTCACTAAGGCTTCATGATTTTACCTACTGTGCATGATTTAGTGATCAGGGAAACTGGAGCACTCGGAGGAAACCTTTGTAGACACGGGGAGAACATGAAAACTCCACTCAGAAAGACCCTGTTCTGACCGAGATTCGAACCCAGAGTGCTATAGGTGCCGTGCCAATCATATAGTGTTTAAAAACAACTGATCTGGAATGTTTGTAGTCTTCTGTTTGTCTCATGTAACCACACAATCTAATGTATTACTCGGACACGATCAATAACTGAAACTGGCCAGAGATATTTGGACATGCTCTGTATCCACTTGCTTTGGATCAGCTGTGTCGATAAATAATATGATTTCTTGCAATCACATCCCATGTAAACACCAA